ACCTTGGATAAGGCACCAGATTTCCATTTCTTTTTTCTATATGGATCATATGAGGATCCATTGAGCACTGGAGTGCGGAGAGGTTCTAGGAAGGAGTGATCCTGACACCTACACAGCGTAGAAGAGAAGCTCTATGATTCCGGCTGTAGAATTACAAAGGAGAGTATATCACCATCACAATGTTTCTTTATATCATTATTTTTGCACTATTTGCACACTGGACTTTATGAATTTATTTATTTTCAATTAGGTATTTATATTGCAGCATTATTATTATATTTGTATTTTAAAAAAAATTATTTTTAATTTCATTTATTTGACACTTTTTATTTATGATGATATATTGTGGGAATACATTTTAATTAATTTTTTGGTGATGCAGTTTATAAATTGACACTTTCACACCACATATTAATTTAAGAGTTATATATATTTTTTTTATTCACTTTTTAATGGTACGGCAGTATTAGAGCGCGGTAATTATTCAATTTATTTTACAATGTACACTCAGGAGTTCTGAGACCCCCGTGATGGGCAGCACCCCTCATCCCCATGATCAATACATTTGTGTCATAAAATCTGTTTTTGTTACATACCTTATTTTAGGGCCAGTAATGTCTTCAATGGGTCTCTGTGCTTCTCTATGCAATGCAGACAAATCATGGCTGGTGGGAGGGGCCGGCATCCTGACAGCATCACTGCGTCCTGCCTCAGTACTCAAGAGCAGTGGGAGGAGTTATGTAAATATCAAATGTCTTGATAGGTGGGTGTCAGTCTGGAGGAGTGGGCGTTCCTAGGCAGACTGTATTTGAATTGGTAACACCCACGTGTGATGCTGAGTCACTATGATTGATAGAACTGAAATCCAAGGAATAAAAGGGGCGGGGCCAGATGATGCTGGACGTCCTCCAGCCAGGAATTGAGGCGGAGCTCTATCTGACTGGCTACAGCTTCTAATGCACATTGTGAGGAGCTCCCAGTGTGCAGTGACATCAGAGGAAGCCATTCCAGTCCAGGGGAGGAGCCGGCACACCTGTGCAAGGCAGAAGGGGAGGAGCTGCTACACCTGTGCAAGGCTGAAGGGGAGGAGCTGCTACACCTGTGCAAGGCTGAAGAAGAGGAGCTGCTACACCTGTGCAAGGCTGAAGGGGAGGAGCCGGCACACCTGTGCAAGGCTGGAGGGGAGGAGCCGGCACACCTGTGCAAGGCTGGAGGGGAGGAGCCGGCACACCTGTGCAAGGCTGGAGGGGAGGAGCCGGCACACCTGTGCAAGGCTGGAGGGGAGGAGCCGGCACACCTGTGCAAGGCTGGAGGGGAGGAGCCGGCACACCTGTGCAAGGCTGGAGGGGAGGAGCCGGCACACCTGTGCAAGGCTGGGGAGAGGAGCTGGCACACCTGTGCAAGGCTGGAGGGGAGGAGCCGGCACACCTGTGCAAGGCTGGAGGAGTGGTTGGAGGATTTAAAATACTGTACATCTAGATTTTTGGATGTTGACATTTGTGAGGTTCTGAAGAGGAGAACCGTAATCAGGGCCAGGGAGTCTGATGCATTGTTGGGGTTTACTTCTACAAAAAAAAAAAAAAAAATAGTTATTTCAACATCTTACAAATATAATCAGTTTTCAAGAAAAGTTTAGATTTAATTTTTTTTTTTTCCATCCTTTTTTGCAACTCCGTGTTGCTGATCTCCTGCGGTCCCTCTTCAGCCACTTTCTGTGACAGGGTGACAACGCAAAAGGACATTTTGAGGGGACAGGACAGAGCGTTGTCACCCTATCACAGTCAGGCTGCATTCACACTTCAGCATTTTGTAGCTCAAAGCTCCAAAAAACCCTCAAAATTATATAGTCAGTTGTTCTCTATGGTGCGTGTTCACACCTGATGGGGAAACGGGCACCACAGAGAACATTCAATTTTTTTTTTTTGAGCGTTTTTGGAGCTTCGAGCTACAAATCGCTGAAGTGTGAATGCAGCCGAAGTGGCTGAACGAGGATCTCCGTGGCAGGATCACCGGGGATCATTTATAATGAAAGCTGCAGATTTAAAGAGATTGAGAAATGATTCCAGAGGCCACATTGTGGGGGGGGGGGGGTGAGGAGGAGAAAAGTATGGCCGATGTAGTAATGGGACGGCAGGGCGACATTTCCCCCATCCCCCCTGAAATCTGCCCCCATCCCCCCTGAAATCTGCCCCCATCCACTCCCCGGGGTGCTCCTGCCGCCGGCGGCTCTTCGCTCGGATCCCGCCACCCCGGATGCAATAAGCGGCAAACCAGATCAAAGAACGTTCAAAGTGTGATTAACTTAATGAAAGGAGGAAAATGACGCAGATTTGCGTTTCCACGGTTTACCCGCAGGAGGCAGACAGGACACAGGAAATTAAAATGTCCTCTTATCACATTGTGTTCCCTTCATAGATGGGAGGAAATCAGCCGGCGGGCCCGAGTATCACTGAAGTCAATATTTTGCCACCAAACAGCGAAAGATCAAATCTACAGAACCGCGTTCATTGTATAGGACGGTCTGCCGGGGGGTGTACAGGGGATGTACTGGGGGGTGTACAGGGGATGTACTGGGGGGTGTACAGGGGATGTACTGGGGGGTGTACAGGGGATGTACTGGGGGGTGTACAGGGGATGTACTGGGGGGTGTACAGGGGATGTACTGGGGGATGTACCGGGAGATGTACTGGGGGGTGTACCTGGAGATGTACTGGGGGGTTTTGTACCGGGAGATGTACTGGGGGGTGTACCGGGGATACTGTACTGGGGGGTGTAACCGGGAGATGTACTGGGGGGTGTACCAGGGGATGTACTGGGGGGTGTACAGGGAGATGTACTGGGGGGTGTACAGGGAGATGTACTGGGGGGTGTACAGGGAGATGTACTGGGGGGTGTACAGGGGATGTACTGGGGGGTGTACAGGGGATGTACTGGGGGGTGTACCGGGAGATGTACTGGGGGGGTGTACAGGGGATGTACTAGGGGGTGTACCTGGAGATGTACTGGGGGGTGTACCGGGAGATGTACTGGGGGGTGTACAGGGGATGTACTGGGGGGTGTACCTGGAGATGTACTGGGGGGTGTACCTGGAGATGTACTGGGGGGTGTACCGGGAGATGTACTGGGGGGTGTACCGGGAGATGTACTGGGGGGTGTACCGGGAGATGTACTGGGGGGTGTACCGGGAGATGTACTGGGGGGTGTACCTGGAGATGTACTGGGGGGGTGTACCTGGAGATGTACTGGGGGGGTGTACCTGGAGATGTACTGGGGGGGTGTACCGGGAGATGTACGGGGGGGGGTGTACCGGGAGATGTATGGGGGGGTGTACCGGGAGATGTATGGGGGGGTGTACCGGGAGATGTACGGGGGGGTGTACCGGGAGATGTACGGGGGGTGTACCGGGAGATGTATGGGGGGGGTGTACTGGTATACAGTACTATATGGGAACCAATAACAGGATATACTATAATATTTACTGATCTAATATACTAGAACATGATTTATTGATCCGGCGGGGAGAGAAGTATTGAACACGTCAACATTTTTTTGATTAATCTATTTCCAAGTCGCAGCAAATCGCACGTTAAGACGCCGACATTCACATTCATTAGATGCAATTTCAATTCCCAAATCACACCGGTATGGTAACAAGCCATGCAATCCGTACATACAGAGAAACCAACACAGATATGTTCTAGAATTAAGTTATGTGTAATAAAATGGAACGACACCGGAAAAAGTATTACTCTGCGGCACTGCATTACTACTAAACCCCCCCCGGACCCCGCATTCACTGTATCCGCTCTCCCCGGACCCCGCATTCACTATATCCTCTCTCCCGGACCCCGCATTCACTATATCCTCTCTCCCCGGACCCCGCATTCACTATATCCGCTCTCCCCGGACCCCGCATTCACTATATCCTCTCTCCCCGGACCCCGCATTCACTATATCCTCTCTCCCCGGACCCCGCATTCACTATATCCTCTCTCCCCGGACCCCGCATTCACTATATCCTCTCTCCCCGGACCCCGCATTCACTATATCCGCTCTCCCCGGACCCCGCATTCACTGTATCCGCTCTCCCCGGACCCCGCATTCACTATATCCTCTCTCCCCGGACCCCGCATTCACTATATCCTCTCTCCCCGGACCCCGCATTCACTGTATCCTCTCTCCCGGACCCCGCATTCACTATATCCGCTCTCCCCGGACCCCGCATTCACTATGTCCGCTCTCCCCCGGACCCCGCATTCACTATGTCCGCTCTCCCCGGACCCCGCATTCACTATATCCGCTCTCCCCGGTCCCCGCATTCACTATATCCGCTCTCCCCGGACCCCGCATTCACTATGTCCGCTCTCTCCGGACCCCGCATTCACTATATCCGCTCTCCCCGGACCCCGCATTCACTATATCCGCTCTCCCCGGACCCCGCATTCACTATATCCGCTCTGTCCGGTCCTGCATTCACTATATCCGCCCTCCCCGGACCCCGCATTCACTATATCCGCTCTCCCCGGACCCCGCATTCACTCTATCCGCTCTCCCCGGACCCCGCATTCACTATATCCGCTCTGTCCGGTCCCTGCATTCACTATATCCGCTCTCCCCGCGTTTGCCGGCTGGGAAGGGGTTAACCTCTAGGGGAGATCAAAGGGATAACTGTGTGCCTACTGAGTGTAATGTGCGCTGCTTTTGCAGGGAGGAAAAAAACAAAGGACCTGCCACATGGCTACTCTCCATTTAGAGCCCCCCCCCCCCCCCCCCCGGGCTGGGAAACATTGGCCGGGACCTGCTGAGCAACTCGCACCCCCCTACCCAGAAATGAGGGCTCTGTGGGGGCCAAACCATCACTTCCAGGGCTCCTTGTTCTTCTTTACACTGAAGAGCGTTCCTAATGACATCAGCCAATCGTGTGCCTTCCTGTAGACGTGCTTTTTTTCTTGTTTGGTTTTTCTCGTTTTTTATTAATTGGGTGAAAAATGTCTTTGCAGACGTCCTGAATGACGCCATCTTCGATGAGGACCACGACGAGATGGTGATAGTGAAGGACATCGACATGTTCTCCATGTGTGAGCACCACTTAGTCCCCTTCATCGGAAAGGTAATTCCACCACTTCAGTCTGTTGTCAGCGATTCCGGCCGCCTTCCTGTTGTTGTGTCTGACAGCCGCGGTCGGCGTTCTGCGACGTTTGTGATAATCGCGCTGCCCTTTCATGCCGCCGGCTGTCATTATGTTATTTGCCAAAAAAAAAAAAATCAATTCATCTGAATAAATCGAAATGACACACGAGGACGGCGGGACTAATGAGCGCTGAAAGGACTGATCAGATTCTGACCTGCGTGTAAAGGGGAACTCCGGACAGATACAAAGACACAAATCAGTGCGGCTCTGCATTCATCGATACGTCATTACGTGTATATTCAATGTATAGATTTTATCACCCCCCCCCATATGTGCTACTTACAGCCAGCAAATGGCATGTGAGACAACACAGACATTTTAGCAGTTTTTACTGCCTTGCTGTGAATAGCCATTGCTGAGCTTTAAGCTGAACCCCAGTAATAATATACTTTGCTTACATTGGTTCCTCTTGGCCCTGTGGATGGTGCAAATCACTGTAACCCCCAAGTTGTTACAGTGATATCCGCGATCCTATGTGCAGCCTGTTGGGCCGTTCCCTACCCGCGTGCGGCCCGTCGGAGCCCGTTCCCTACCCCGCGTGCGGCCCGTCGGAGCCCGTTCCCTACCCCGCGTGCTGCCCTTCGGAGCCCGTTCCCTACCCCGCGTGCGGCCCTTCGCCCGTCGAAGCCCGTTCCCTACCCCGCGTGCGGCCCATCTGAGCCCGTTCCCTACCCCGCGTGCTGCCCTTCGGAGCCCGTTCCCTACCCCGCGTGCGGCCCGTCGGAGCCCGTTCCCTACCCCGCGTGCGGCCCGTCGGAGCCCGTTCCCTACCCCGCGTGCGGCCCCGTCGGAGCCCGTTCCCTACCCCGCGTGTGGCTCGTCGGAGCCCGTTCCCTACCCCGCGTGCGGCCCGTCGGAGCCCGTTCCCTACCCCGCGTGCGGCCCGTCGGAGCCCGTTCCCTACCCCGCGTGCGGCCCGTCGGAGCCCGTTCCCTACCCCGCGTGCGGCCCGTCGGAGCCCGTTCCCTACCCCGCGTGCGGCCCGTCGGAGCCCGTTCCCTACCCCGCGTGCGGCCCGTCGGAGCCCGTTCCCTACCCCGCGTGCGGCCCGTCGGAGCCCGTTCCCTACCCCGCGTGCGGCCCGTCGGAGCCCGTTCCCTACCCCGCGTGCGGCCCGTCGGAGCCCGTTCCCTACCCCGCGTGCGGCCCGTCGGAGCCCGTTCCCTACCCCATGTACAGACAATCGGGCCGTTCCCTACCCCATGTACAGACAATCGGGCCGTTCCCTACCCCATGTACAGACTATACATGTTCTGATGACAGGGTCTCTTTATCCTCTTTCTGACCACGTAACGCATTGATGCCCAGTCAGCACACACAAGTGTTCATGGCGGCGCGCTCCTAGTGCACAGTTTGAGCCGACACCTACAGCTCTCAGGGCTTCTGATTGGGAGGCAGTGGGACAGGCTCCTGATCACGTGACCGCCGTCAGACCCAATCCTAATATTTATGTAGTACTTCAACCGAGGGATTTCCCACACATATCGATGGGTATAAAGAAGAAAAAAACCCCGAATAGTGTAATACTGCATGCATGCGCTCCACTCACCGGAGTCTTTGATAACTCCCTGGAGGAGGGCGAAACGCGTCGACGTAACTTCCCGTGGCTACGCCTTGATGTCGTATCCGGTGAGTGGAGCGCACGCCAGATGCTGCGCTCCAGAAGCCATCTTTGCTGAGGTCTGATGTGGATTGCTGCCAGTATATACACTATAGGAGCTCTGCACCTGACAGCAGTTTTTGTCTTTGTGCTGATCTCCAGCCTCCTCTTTGCAGCCACTTCCCATCTATATGCAGCCATGGCATTTCTCAGGGCGGGTTTCCTGGTGGTGACCACAGTGGTCCATGTCTGTGTAATGGGTGTTTAAATTGGCTGCTTGTAGTCCCTGTGACAACGCAGGAGCACAGTTGGGAGACAAGAGACTGAGTGGTCACCCTATAACAGGAAGTGGCTGAACAAGGACCTTACTGGCAGGATCACCGGACATTATTTTAATGAAAGCGGAGAAAGAAACAAAATAAAAATACTGAAAGTTCAGCTGAGATTTTTATTGGATTATATTAACCCCTTAAAGCTACCTTTCCTTAAGGCAGTGTTTCTCAACTCCAGTCCTCATGGACCCCCAACAGGTTTTCAGGATTTCCCTCAGATGAAACAGCTGTGGTAATTACTAAGGCAGTGAAACTGATCAAATCACCTGTGCAAAATAATGGAAATCCTGAAAACATGACCTGTTGGGGGTCCATGAGGACTGGAGTTGAGAAACACTGCCTTAAGGTGAGATTTAATGCCCAGGAGGAGGCGTGGCTTCTGGAGCACAGCATCCGGCGTGCGCTCCACTCACTGGATATGACGTCACGGCGTAGCCACGTGAACCGGAAGTTACGTCGACGCGTTTCGCCCCACTTCCAGGGTGTTACCAAAGACTCCGGTGAGTGGAGCGCACGCCGGATGGTGAGTGGAGCGCACGCCGGATGGTGAGTGGAGCGCACGCCGGATGGTGAGTGGAGCGCACGCCGGATGGTGAGTGGAGCGCACGCTGCATGCTGCGCTCCAGAAGCCATCTTTGCTGAAGCCTGATGTGGATTGCAGCCAGTGTGTACACTACGCATAGCACGCATTTGATTTTATTTATTCCAATTTTTTGCAGTATTCCACTATTTTTAGTTTTCATTCTTCTTTATACCCATTGATATGTGTGGGAAATCCCTCGGCCGAAGTCTGTTCTGAAGCGGTGAGAACCCCGATCTCCGACACATCCGGTGAGCGCAGTTTGCGTTTGAACGTCGCGGTGGTGTAAACGCACGGAAACCTTGACATGCAGCACCGTTGAGTAAAAAATCGGCGCACATTGGAATTGGACATTTTTTTTTTCATTGAATTTTTTTGGATTGGATCTTTTTCACTTTTTATTTTGTGACGCATATATTTATTTTCTATTTAATTCTTTTATTTGGTTATATTGTTTGTATTGTTTTGCGCCGTGTTTTATATTTCAGTGACAGAAATATGGAACAGCAAGAAAGTGACATGAAGGCTTACTGCTACAGAAATGTTACATGGATAAGTCTGTGCTCATGTAATACAATGTAACCTTCCTGTGTGTACAGAGCCTCGGGGCCCCATCGGGCCCTTGGCATCTGCTGCTGTGTAATTATTTGCTTGCTGCACACATTCACCCCCCCCCTCTCTGCTCCCCGCAGGTACACATAGGATATCTACCCAACAAACAAGTGCTGGGGCTGAGCAAGCTGGCCAGGTGAGTGCAGGCTGCCTCTTCTATTCATTTATTTGGACAGTTAATCAAAAGGCTTCTGGGGGGGGGGGAGGGGGGTATAGAGCGGCGCTCTGACATCATCTATTCATCGGAGGTAGACGGATGGCGTCTGTGTAAATATTGAGTAATGAGAGCGCATGTGGTGGGGGATGGGGTTTACAATGAGCAGATATTGGTTTTATGGGCAACCGCGGCGTCTGGCTCGCCATTGCTGTGAAGCCCCACTGATCTCAATGGGTGGGTTTGACAGGCAGCCCCCCCCCCCCCCCCCCCCCACACGCACTCGCCCACCGACACCAACATTTCTCTCTCTTTTTTTGCATAATTTAAATCCAGCTGGCTGGTCACATGGTGTCACCAGTACTGCCTCTTCTTGGTGGGCGGTCCTATCTCCTGCACAGAACTGGGCTCATGTGAGGAAGCCTGAGTCATTCTATACCACAGTACTGTGGACTTAGGGGGCGTGTCTGTGACAGGCTGGGCTCCCACGGGAGGGGGCGTGTCCGTGACAGGCTGGACTCCCAAGGGAGGAAGCGTGTCCATGACAGGCTGGACTCCCACGGGAGGGGGCGTGTCCATGACAGGCTGGACTCCCACGGGAGGGGGCGTGTCCATGACAGGCTGGACTCCCACGGGAGGGGGCGTGTCCGCAAAAGGCTGGACTCCCACGGGAGGGGGCGTGTCCGCGACAGGCTGGACTCCCACGGGAGGGGGGCGTGTCCGCGACAGGCTGGACTCCCACGGGAGGGGGCGTGTCCGCGACAGGCTGGACTCCCACGGGAGGGGGCGTGTCCGCGACAGGCTGGACTCCCACGGGAGGGGGCGTGTCCGCGACAGGCTGGACTCCCACGGGAGGGGGCGTGTCCGCGACAGGCTGGACTCCCAAGGGAGGGGGCGTGTCCACGACAGGCTGGACTCCCACGGGAGGGGGCGTGTCCACGACAGGCTGGACTCCCACGGGAGGGGGTGTGTCCGCAGCAGGCTGGACTCCCACGGGAGGGGGCGTGTCCACGGCAGGCTGGACTCCCAAGGGAGGGGGCGTGTTCGTGAAAGAACAGCGTCAAACCAATATAGGGTTACATAGTTAGTCTGACAGAAAAAAGACAAAAGTCCATCCAGTTCAACCATTATAAAACAAAAGTTATAATCCTCCACCCGCCGTGGATCCAGAGGAAGGTAAAACACCCAGCAAAGCACGATCCAATCTCCTCCTGCAGGGAAACAATTCCTTCCTGATCCCCCGAGAGCCAATCGGATATTCCCTGGATCCACTTTCCCTATAAATGTTATATCCAGTTATATTCTGTGTATCCAAGAAAGAATCCAGGACTTTCCTACAGCAATCCACTGAGCTGGCCACAACCAACTCTGAGGGAGTCTATTCCACATTCTCACAGCTCTCACTGTGAAGAAACCTTTCCGTGTTTGGAGATGACATTTCTTTTCCTCCAGACGTAAAGAGCGCCCCCTTGTCCTCTGTGATGACCTCAGGGGGAATAACTACACCGAGTTCACTATATGAACCACTGATGTATTATACATGGAGATCATATCCCCCCTTATGTATTATACATGGAGATCATATCCCCCCCTTATGTATTATACATGGAGATCATATCCCCCCCTTATGTATTATACATGGAGATAATATCCCCCCCCTTATGTATTATACATGGAAATCATATCCCCCCCCCCTTATGTATTATACATGGAGATCATATCCCCCCCTTATGTATTATACATGGAGATCATATCCCCCCCTTATGTATTATACATGGAGATCATATCCCCCCCCCCCCTTATGTATTATACATGGTGATCATATCCCCCCCCCCCTTATGTATTATACATGGAAATCATATCCCCCCCCCCTTATGTATTATACATGGAGGTCATATCCCCCCTTATGTATTATACATGGAGATCATATCCCCCTTATGTATTATACATGGAGATCATATCCCCCCTTATGTATTATACATGGAGATCATATCCCCCCTTATGTATTATACATGGTGATCATATCCCCCCCCTTATGTATTATACATGGAGATCATATCCCCCTTATGTATTATACATGGAGATCATATCCCCCTTATGTATTATACATGGAGATCATATCCCCCCTTATGTATTATACATGGAGATCATATCCCCCCCTTATGTATTATACATGGAGATCATATCCCCCCTTATGTATTATACATGGAGATCATATCTCCCCTTATGTATTATACATGGAGATCATATCCCCCTTATGTATTATACATGGAGATCATATCCCCCCCCCTTATGTATTATACATGGAGATCATATCCCCCCCCCCTTATGTATTATACATGGAGATCATATCCCCCCCCCCCTTATGTATTATACATGGAGATCATATCCCCCCCCCCCCCCCCCTTATGTATTATACATGGAGATCATATCCCCCCCCCTTATGTATTATACATGGAGATCATATCCCCCCCCCCTTATGTATTATACATGGAGATCATATCCCCCCCCCCTTATGTATTATACATGGAGATCATATCCCCCCCCCTTATGTATTATACATGGAGATCATATCCCCCCCCCCTTATGTATTATACATGGAGATCATATCCCCCCCCCCTTATGTATTATACATGGAGATCATATCCCCCCCCCCTTATGTATTATACATGGAGATCATATCCCCAAACAAATATTGAGGAAGTTGCCAGTTTTTAAACCTAAAAAAAAAACAAAAATGATTCCGGAGCGATCGCAGTTCCCCTTTAAGTAACAGTTTCACACTAATTAGAGACCTTTTCCCCGCCGGAACTCCCGCGTTCCGGAGTTATCACAGCGCTGCACAGAGGATTATTTGCGGGAGATTTGGAATTTATCTTCCTCCAGCATTTTGAAGACGCAGCGCTGACTTTTTTTTTTTCCAATTAAATTTGACATTTAGTATAGCGAAGGCTCGCGGCCAGAGGAGCGGAAGACGAACGTTTGTGAGGATTAACCAGAAATACGGAAAATTCGCCTTTTTACTTAAACTGTATGACGTGTCGGGGGGGGGGGGGGGGGGGAGGGGTGATGGGGGGGGGGGGGGGGGGGGGGGGGGGGGGTGAGCAAAAATCTACAGAAAGAAGGAAAAAATATACATTTTACTAAATTATTATAGAGAATAAAAATGTATTATTGAGACTGAAATTTAGGAACCCAAATCAACCAATGAAAGATTGCTAGTGGAGGAAAGACAGATATGATTGGTCCGCGGTGGGTTGGGTTCATTGTTTCTTCTGTTGTATAAACCCTGATTGTACTGGCTGAGCTCCCGGGTCTGTACCCCCGCTGTGCCCTTTATGAGGGGCTCCCATCATCCCTGTGCTGAGCTCCCGGGTCTGTACCCCCGCTGTGCCCTTTATGAGGGGCTCCCATCATCCCTGTGCTGAGAGCTCCCGGGTCTGTACCCCCGCTGTGCCCTTTATGAGGGGCTCCCACCATCCCTGTGCTGAGCTCCCGGCTGTGTACCCCCGCTGTGCCCTTTATGAGGGGCTCCCATCATCCCTGTGCTGAGCTCCCGGGTCTGTACCCCCGCTGTGCCCTTTATGAGGGGCTCCCATCATCCCTGTGCTGAGTTCCTGGGTCTGTACACCCGCTGTGCCCATTATGAGGGGTTCTCACCATCCCTGTGCTGATCTCCCGGATCTGTACCCCCGCTGTGCCCATTATGAGGGGTTCCCACCATCCCTGTGCTGAGCTCCCGGCTGTGTACACCCGCTGTGCCCATTATGAGGGGTTCCCACCATCCCTGTGCTGAGCTCCCGGCTGTGTACACCCGCTGTGCCCATTATGAGGGGTTCCCACCATCCCTGTGCTGAGCTTCCGGCTGTGTACACCCGCTGTGCCCATTATGAGGGGTTCCCACCATCCCTGTGCTGAGCTCCCGGCTGTGTACACTCCCGCTGTGCCCATTATGCGGGTTTCTCACCATCCCTGTGCTGAGCTCCCCGGCTGTGTACGCCCACTGTGCCCATTATGAGGGGTTCCCACCATCCCTGTGCTGAGCTCCCGGCTGTGTACACCCGCTGTGCCCATTATGTGGGGTTCTCACCATCCCTGTGCTGAGCTCCCGGCTGTGTACGCCCACTGTGCCCATTATGAGGGGTTCCCACCATCCCTGTGCTGAGCTCCCGGCTGTGTACACCCCGCTGTGCCCATTATGTGGGGTTCTCACCATCCCTGTGCTGAGCTCCCGGCTGTGTACGCCCACTGTGCCCATTATGAGGGGTTCCCACCATCCCTGTGCTGAGCTCCCGGCTGTGTACACCCGCTGTGCCCATTATGCGGGGTTCTCACCATCCCCGTGCTGAGCTCCCGGCTGTGTACACCCGCTGTGCCCATTATGAGGGGTTCTCACCATCCCTGTGCTGATCTCCCGGATCTGTACCCCCGCTGTGCCCTTTATGAGGGGTTCCCACCATCCCTGTGCTGAGTTCACATAGGTCGGTTCATAGGATAGAGAGCTGCAGGTGGGTGTTACCACACTGCCAGTGCTCACTGGAAGTCCAGTGAGAAGACGGGGGTGGGGCAGTGACACGGAGTCTCATGATCTGTACAATCGATAGTCGGGTGTTCAGCCCCACGATTACATACCGGCTCTATCGATCTGTCAGAATAAACTTCGATGTATCAAAGTAACAAAAACTATCATTTCTGTTTCCTGTAGGATTGTGGAAATCTACAGCAGGAGACTGCAAGGTGAGCGGCGATGTCACAACATTCCTCCCTTCCTGCTGAGCCCCCAGTACTCACCCCCCCACCCCTCCTCCCCCCCCGCCAGAACCCCCCCCCCCCCCCCCCTTCCCTTCTCCCCCCCCCTCCTTCCCTTCTCCCCCCTCGCCAGAACCCCCCCCCCCTTCCCTTCTCCCCCCCACCAGAACCCCCCCAAACTGGATTTATAGATATTGCAAGTGAAGTAAACCGATCTGCAACACCAAACCCGCGGATGAAGGATGCCGGTACCTGTCCCGGTCCATACAGAGGATTCCATCGAGGATTCATCTTCGGGGTTTAACACTGCAGATCAGTCTTCTGCCAGTGACACCATAGATCACTTCCTGTCCGTCACCTCATTGTTACATTGTATCCTTTCGATTAGATAGAGGGGGGGTGGGGAGTATGATGAGTAGTTGGGGTCACGGTGACTGTATGGCAGGTCACCTGGCCAGGGCCGAGATCTAGCCATGATGGGGCGCGTTGCCCTTTATGTGGATATTAATTGTCCTGACAGCTGCCCTTTAAAGACATACGAGATGACGTCACATGGAGGCGACGGTCACCATGGAGTTTATTTCTGGATCTAAGATGGAAAGAAACGCAGATTGTTATTTCTCTTTCCTGCTTCTCTGTCTGGCAGCTCAGGGCTGATCTACACTGTATTGCCCCAGTATTGGGCCCCGGCCTTCCCACACATGACGTCTAGAATTTGTAAATGATAACAAGAAAGGCAGTAGATTACCCGCAGCCCAACAACAGATCCCTCAGTACAAAATACCCCCCTTCGCCCCAGCAACAATAGACCCTCCTCCTTCAACAGTAGATTCCCCTCCCCCCTAACACAAGGGAAACCAATAGATCCTTCAGAAGCACTACATTGCCCAACATCAGCATCAAACAGACCTTTTGCCAGAATATACACTATATTGCCCAAGTATTGGTCCCCCCCCTCCCCCCCCCTCGTATATACACTATATTGCCCCAAGTATTGGGCCGCCGACCTTCCCACACACATGACCTTTAATGGCCCCCCAGTCTTAGTCCGTAGGGTTCAATATTGAGTTGGCCCCGCCCTTTGCAGCTATAACAGCTTCAACTCTTCTGGGAAGGCCGTCCACAAGGTTTAGGAGGGTGTCTATGGGAAGGTTGGACCATTCTTCCAGAAGCACATTTGTCAGGTCAGGCACTGATGTCGGGGGAGGGGGCCTGGCTCGCAGTCTCCGCTCTAATTCATCCCAAAGGTGTTCTATGGGGTTGAGGTCAGGACTCTGTGCAGGACAGTCAGGTTCCTCCACCCCAAACTGGCTCCTCCATGTCTTTATGGACCTTGCTTTGTGCACTGGTGGGCACTCATGTTGGAACAGGAAGGGGCCATCCACAAACTCTTCCCACAAAGTTGGGAGCATGAAATTGTCCAAAATGTCGCCTTAAGAGTTCCCTTCACTGGAACTAGGGGGCCAAGCCCAACCCCTGAAAAATAATCCCCCCCCTCCACCAAACTTTACACTTGGCACAATGCAGTCAGGCAAGTACCGTTCTCCTGGCCACCGCCAAACCCAAACACATCCATCAGATTGCCAGATAGAGAAGCGTGATTGGTCACTCCAGAGAACACGCCTCCCCTGCTCTAGAGTCCAGTGGCGGCGTGCTTTACACCACGACATCCGACGCTTTGCATTGCACTTGGTGATGGAAGGCTTGGATGCAGCTGCTCGGCCATGGAAACCCATTCCATGAAGCTCTCTACGCACTGTTGTTGGGCTCATCTGAAGGCCACACCAAGTTTGGAGGTCTTTAGCTATTGACTCTGCAGACAGTTGGCGACTTCTGCGCACTGTGCGCTTCAGCATGCGCTGACCCCTCGCCCTGTCATGTGACGTGGCCTACCACTTGGTGGCTGAGTGGCTGTTGTTCCCAGTGGCTTCACTTTGTTATAATCCCACTAACAGTTGAGCGTGGAATATTTAGTAGCCAGGAAATGTCACGGATGGACTTATTGCACAGGTGGCCACCTATCACGGGACCACGCTTGGAGTCACTGAGCTCCTGAGAGCGACCCATTCTTTCACCAATGTTTGTAGAAGCCGTCTGCATGCCTAGGGGCTTGATTGTATACACCTGTGTGCATGGAGGGGATTGGAGCACCTGAATCACATGATTGGGAGGGGATTGGAACACCTGAATCACATGATATGGAGGGGATTGGAACACCTGATTCACATGATATGGAGGGGATTGGAACACCTGAATCACATGATTGGGAGGGGATTGGAACACCTGAATCACATGATATGGAGGGGATTGGAACACCTGAATCACATGATATGGAGGGGATCGGAACACCTGAATCACATGATATGGAGGGGATCGGAACACCTGAATCACATGATATGGAGGGGATCGGAACACCTGAATCACATGATATGGAGGGGATTGGAACACCTGAATCACATGATATGAAGGGGATTGGAACACCTGATTCACATGATTGGGAGGGGATTGGAACACCTGAATCACATGACTGGGAGGGGATTGGAACACCTGCATCAAATGATTAGGAAGGGATTGGAACACCTGCATCACATGATATGGAGGGGATTGAAACACCTGCATCACATGATTGGGAGGGGATTGGAACACCTGCATCACATGATTGGGAGGGGATTGGAACACCTGCATCACATGACTGGGAGGGGATTGGAACACCTGAATCACATGACTGGGAGGGGATTGGAACACCTGAATCACATGACTGGGAGGGGATTGGAACACCTGAATCACATGACTGGGAGGGGATTGGAACACCTGAATCACATGATATGGAGGGGATTGGAACACCTGAATCACATGATATGGAGGGGATTGGAACACCTGCATCAAATGATTAGGAAGGGATTGGAACACCTGCATCACATGATATGGAGGGGATTGGAACACCTGAATCACATGATTGGGAGGGGATTGGAACACCTGCATCACATGATATGGAGGGGATTGGAACACCTGCATCACATGACTGGGAGGGGATTGGAACACCTGAATCACATGACTGGAGGGGATTGGAACACCTGAATCACATGACTGGGAGGGGATTTGGAACACCTGAATCACATGATATGGAGGGGATTGGAACACCTGCATCACATGATATGGAGGGGATTGGAACACCTGCATCACATGACTGGGAGGGGATTGGAACATCTGCATCACATGACTGGGAGGGGATTGGAACACCTGAATCACATGACTGGGAGGGGATTGGAACACCTGAATCACATGACTGGGAGGGGATTGGAACACCTGAATCACATGACTGGGAGGGGATTGGAACACCTGAATCACATGATTGGAGGGCGGGGACAATACTTTGGCAATATCGTGTATGTAATTCAGGCCATTTCATGGATTTAATTCTGAACAAATTTTCTTTAGAAAATCTGAAGATTTGTGCAGTTTGTCACCCGTTGGCACCACGATTGGTTTTGAAATTTGACCAACCAAGCCTTCAGATTCACCTCATGTTGCTAAAGAAAAGGCTTTTCGTGGCCAAGAATCTTTTATCTTTCCAGCTCGCGCTCGTTTCTTTTTTGATTTATATTTCTCGCACGATTCTCCCATCCTTGATTATACATGTCTTTGTTTCCATGTTTCCTCCACGCCCCATAACTCAGATTTGACGGCTGCACAGAACTCGGCCATTGCTGCAGCCCACTAATGGTGTAAAATTCGACTGAAAATTCATAGTTACGGTTTTTTGCAAAGAAAATGATTTTGGCATTCGATCCATGTATGTCCTGCGTAAGATTTCATGTACCTGCCGCAAAGTGCCGAGATGACAGCGAGACGTACATGGGACCCTAAAACCCAAAAAAAAGGGGGGGGGGGGGAAACCTAATATTGAGCCCATGCAGTTGTTTCCCCCTCCTTTTACTTGGCAGTGCACACAGACCAGTGTAAGCATGTGCTCCCCCAAATATTGGTGTCACCCCTGGGGGTCATCCCCCTTGCAGATATCTGGTTATTGCCTTATTTATAACTACGGCTTCCATATTTTCATATTCCACCATAACCCCCCCCCCCCTCCTATTGTGCCATTACCCCACCTCTTTGGGGTACAGGATGTGGGAGAAAGAGAAACTTTTTGTCCCCCCAACACTTGGATTTAGGTGCTTTGCAAGGGGGGGAGGGAGGCAAAGCATGGAACCCCCTCCCAGTGCTGAAAGGCAGTTGGCCTGGTATGCTCCAGGAAGGAGGGGTGGATGCTGACCACCGAGGCTGGAGAAGGGTCTATGCCAGGGGTGGGCAACCTGCTGCTCTCTAGCTGTTTTTGAACTACATTTCCCATGAGGCATTGCAAAGATTACAAAACTGACAGTTACAGCTATGACTTGCAGAGGCTTGATGGAACTTGTAGTCCTGCGGCTCTCTCCCCCGGTCTAGGAGAATATTAAGGGGAGCCCCACTCTGTATTAATTGAAATGACTATATACCCCCTGTAGCTGTAGGCAGGAGGGTAGGGGGTGGAGTTTGTCATTTTGCCAAATTTTATAAATACAAAATGCACATAGAGCCCCCCCCCCCCCTCCCGCTGCTGACTTATCGAGCCGCTCATAATTATACACTTTCTAGTACAGATTTCATACATATATGTATATGACAGACACAGCCGGGCTCGGAATGTACGGAGCAGAAGCAGGGTCACCTGCACTGTAACTGGGTGGGGGGTTGGGATTGTCGCTTCGAAGTGGAATTTATACAAAGACGAAGCATTTTACATTTCATAATTATTTCTATTTTTTTTCCCTGCAGTTCAAGAACGCCTTACCAAACAGATCGCCATCGCAATTACAGAAGCCTTACAGCCCGCCGGTGTGGGCGTGGTCATAGAAGCCACGTAAGTGCCCTCTACTTCCTGAAACCCAAATGTATCAAATCAGGAATGGAACTTATTCAAAATTGTGGCAGTTATGTAAATGCAGCTTTTGTCTGTTTTACAGACCTATGTGCGAATGTCTCAGCATTCACAGCATTCACAGCATTCACACCAGCATTCACAGCATTCACCCAGCATTCACCCAGCATTCACAGCATTCACCCAGCATTCACAGCATTCACCCAGCATTCACCCAGCATTCACAGCATTCACACAGCATTCACCCAGCATTCACAGCATTCACCCAGCATTCACAGCATTCACACAGCATTCACCCAGCATTCACAGCATTCACCCCAGCATTCACAGCATTCACCCAGCATTCACAGCATTCACACAGCATTCACCCAGCATTCACAGCATTCACCCAGCATTCACAGCATTCACCCAGCATTCACCCAGCATTCACAGCATTCACCCAGCATTCACAGCATTCACCCAGCGACGCAAATACTCCCCTGTAATGTGCCTAATATGTTTATCTCCTACAATCAGCAGCTCCGGCTAGTGGTCATAAAGCAGTATTTATCTTCCTTACATTGGGGGTCAGTGGGAAGAATGTCCCTTACATTGGGGGTCAGTGGGAAGAATGTCCCTTACATTGGGGGGTCAGTGGGAAGAATGTCCCTTACATTGGTGGTCAGTGGGAAGAATGTCCCTTACATTGGGGGTCAGTGGGAAGAATGTCCCTTACATTGGGGGTCAGTGGGAAGAATGTCCCTTACATTGGGGGGTCAGTGGGAAGAATGTCCCTTACATTGGTGATCAGTGGGAAGAATGTCCCTTACATTGGGGGGTCAGTGGGAAGAATGTCCCTTACATTGGTGATCAGTGGGGAAGAATGCCCCTTACATTGGGGGTCGGTGGGAAGAATGTCCCTTACATTGGTGGTCAGTGGGAAGAATGCCCCTTACATTGGTGGTCAGTGGGAAGAATGTCCCTTACATTGGTGATCAGTGGGAAGAATGTCCCTTACATTGGTGATCAGTGGGAAGAATGTCCCTTACATTGGGGGTCGGTGGGAAGAACGTCCCTTACATTGGGGGTCGGTGGGAACTTATCTGAGAGGCAGAAATTGCTGCATGCTCAAGGAACCTCTGGGAACCTCTAGAGCACGGGTGTCAAACTGGCGGCTCTCCAGCTGTTGCCAAACTACAAGTCCCATGAGGCATTGCAAGGCTGACAGTTACAAGCATGACTCCCAAAGGCAGAGGCATGATGGGACTTGTAGTTTCAGAACAGCTGGGGCCCGCCAGGTTGACACCCCTGCTCTGGAGGACCTTAGTTATGAAAGGCTGTTCTAGAACCTCAGCCTACGCTCTACTCCTGAAGACCATCATGCTGTAGCTTGCCCCATGGTTCTGTTGTAACTTACATGCTGTGTTTTCTGTTTTTCCAGTCACATGTGCATGGTAATGAGAGGGGTCCAGAAAATGAACAGCAAGACGGTAACAAGTACCATGCTTGGCGTCTTCAGAGAAGACCCGAAAACCCGAGAAGAGTTCCTGACCCTAATCAAGAGCTGATTCCAGTGCCAAACCCCACGCCGTGTACTGTAGAGCTTGTGCTGCTGGCCGGTCCTGTCCGTCCGTGTCTTCATCTGGTTATATTGTCTTGTCTGTATCCACTGTTCAGATGACGTCTCAGAGAACCCATCCCCCATCGCCTGTCCCCGTGTGATGGTACCGGTAGTCATATCTGTGAGAGGAGCCTGAGGGGAACCTTCTGCCCATTGGACAATAATGATCACCTGAAGTCTCCCCGCTGGGGCCACAGCCAGAAATAAAAGCCTGACTGAGGTTCTACCCTTCACCTTCTATCCAAATCTTAAAGAAGAGAAGTAGGGGGGCAGCCATTGCTGATCTCTGAAAATGCTAGCGGCCTGGCTGTCTGTGCAGAGCAGGAACCTCAGAGGCCCCTATTTGCATTCCAGGTCTGTGACAGCCAGGAAACCAGCATTTTCAGACTTGGGTGGTTTCCATTAATGCATTCTCTTCACAAACTGTTATAAACATGAACTCGCCGTTTAAAGGGGTCGTCTGTTTCATCTCGAGAATCCATCTTCCATCGTCTGCAGTGCTGTCTGTGTATGTTCTAGTATTTACTTAGTTATCCCAGCCAGGAGCTATTCTGGGGGGGGGCAACGCGTGGCGACATCAGAAAGGTCCTGCCCTCCCTCCGGCCCTCCTCTGTGTTAGCCATTTTAGGACCCGGTCACACCATGGCGGTTTATGTGATCCAACGCAGGATCACGGCACGCAATGTGCGCACAAAAACTCGTTTCCATTATATATCGATCAAGCTCTGCACATCCGCAGGTTGTAGTAGAGGAAAAAGCCTTCCATCTCTAAAAAAAAAAATCCTGCTTGCTGCATCTTATGTGCGTTCTGGAAAAAACATCAGCAATATAGTCCAGGGGTGTACCTGCAGGGGTCGCAATTGTGACCTGGCCCCCCCCCCTGTATGCCTGGATAGGAGGCTGAATGCCTGCAGGAGGGAGAGGAGGAGAAGCAAGTATTTAGCAGCTGCAGGAGGAACATAGAGAGACTGATTCCTCTATATGCAGCTGCCCCCATCGCTCCTCCTGTCCTGCTTTCCAGTGCCCCCCTCCCCAAGCTCTTTCCCAGCCCTCCCCCAGAGTGCTGCCAGGTTCCCCATTCCCCCATTTTGCCAGCTGCTGCGGGAGATGCTGTCAGGATAAAGAGCAGGAAAGGGGCCTACATATGTAATTTACCAGCCCCTTCTTTTTCTAAATGTAGAGTCGGGTCGGTACTGATTACTGACTCGGTCCATTCATAATTGAAGCATAGGAAACTGTGCTTACTATGCTTTAGTTTGTGAATGAATGGGAAGCCTCTGTGCAGAGCTCTTCCTGTCCATTCATTCTGTGTAGCTGAGAATGCAGAGATGGAGATTGAGGTCTGTGTCCTCCATCTCCTTTTTGTGTCCCAAAGGTGGAACATCAGAGGTCTGTTTATACCTGTGATCTCATAAAAGCCCCCCCCCCCCCCCCCCCCCCCAACGGGGCTCCAAACAAATTTGTAAGAAATAACTGACACCAGTAGCGGAACTACTAGGGTCACAAAGGTCGCACTTATGTTCCACCACCGGGCTTGGAGGGAAAAGACCCAGCCAGGGGTCAGGGGGGCCCTTCATAGTTTCTATCTTCACCACTGCTATAGTCAAAAAATGGAAAATGCACTAAAAACACAGTACACAATATTTCCAAATCACCTGCCCATATGTCCCATGTGACCGCAGGAAGTCAAACGCACCACGCAAAACGCATCTTGTGTTGCTTTACATTTCAACGCCATGCATTAGAAAATGAACTAAATATGCAATATGCAGATGTTGCGGCATTTTCCATTGCAATGATGTGAGCCGGTCCTGTAAGCAGAGCTTCGCAGTTGCTTGACGCATTTATACACGTAGAGGTGCTTTATGTTCACAACTTCTTTTTTTTTTTTTTTTTAAAGTTACATTTGTATTTGTTAAGATTTCAAATCGTTTTATATCAGATAGAAATGTCATGTGGGAACACAGGAGGCGAAGACCAGCCAATCGCATCTCGCCGCAAAGTGCGGCCATTTATACCATGCTGAAGCAGAATTAGGCCAAGTTAATGTGAGCGAGGATGAGTGGATACAATGTATATACAGGAGGAAGAGATACAATGTATATACAGGAGGAAGAGATACAATGTATACAGGAGGAAGAGATACAACATGTATACAGGAGGAAGGGATACAACATGTATATACAGGAGGAGGGGGATAGAACATGTATACAGGAGGAAGGGATACAATGTATATACAGGAGGAAGGGATACAACATGTATACAGGATGAGTGGATACAATGTATATACAGGAGGAAGGGATACAACATGTATACAGGAGGAAGAGATACAATGTATACAGGAGGAAGAGATACAACATGTATACAGGATGAGTGGATACAATGTATATACAGGAGGAAGGGATACAACATGTATACAGGAGGAAGAGATACAATGTATACAGGAGGAAGAGATACAACATGTATACAGGATGAGTGGATACAATGTATATACAGGAGGAAGGGATACAATGTATACAGGAGGAAGAGATACAACATGTATACAGGAGGAAGGGATACAACATGTATACAGGAGGAAGAGATACAATGTATATACAGGAGGAAGGGATAGAACATGTATACAGGAGGAGTGGATACAATGTATATACAGGAGGAAGAGATACAATGTATATACAGGAGGAAGAGAGATATGATGTATACAGGAGGAAGGAATACAACATGTATACAGGATGAGTGGATACAATGTATATACAGGAGGAAGGGATACAATGTATATACAGGAGGAGTGGATACAATGTATATACAGGAGGAAGAGATACAATGTATACACAGGAGGAAGAGATACAACATGTATACAGGAGGAAGGGATACAATGTATACAGGAGGAAGGGATACAATGTATATACAGGAGGAGTGGATACAATCTATATACAGGAGGAAGGGAGATACAATGTATACAGGAGGAAGAGATACAACATGTATACAGGATGAGTGGATACAATGTATATACAGGAGGAAGGAAGGGATACAATGTATACAGGAGGAAGGGATACAATGTATATACAGGAGGAAGGGATACAATGTATATACAGGAGAGGGGATAGAACATGTATACAGGATGAGTGGATACAATGTATATACAGGAGGAAGGGATACAATGTATACAGGATGAGTGGACATGATGTATATATTTTTTTTTTTTAAGAGGAAGGGATACAATGTATATACAGGAGGAAGGGATACAATGTATATACAGGAGGAAGGGATACAATGTATATACAGGAGGAAGGGATACAATGTATATACAGGAGGAAGGGATACAACATGTATACAGGATGAAGAGATACAACATGTATACAGGATGAGTGGATACAATGTATATACAGGAGGAGGGATACAATGTATATGCAGTATTGTACTCAGGAGGAAGTTGTTTGGGACGATTGCGTCACTTTAGGGACAAAGAACGAACTTTCTGTTTCGGGGAGATGTGCTGAATCTGCAGATTCCACGATTGTTCTATGAATTGTGTTTCCATCTATTCATGTTCTTCTAATAAAGCGCAGTGACCACCATGTGTGCCGACATTCTGTGAGCTACAAATCATCAATCAAAGTAATCGCACCTTGTAAAGGGAATCTCCGTAAAAATGGATACAAATGATACTGTTACTATATACAGTGCCTTGAAGAAGTCTCCCTCCGCTTCTGAAATGTCCCCCATGTTGTCATGTTACAATGTATTCCCCCTCCCCCCTGAAATGTCCCCCATGTTGTCATGTTTTACAATGTATTCCCCCTCCCCCCCTGAAATGTCCCCCATGTTGTCATGTTACAATGTATCCCCCCCCCTGAAATGTCCCCCCCATGTTGTCATGTCACAATGTATTGCCCCCCCCTGAAATGTCCCCCCATGTTGTGATGTTACAATGTATTGCCCCCCCCCTGAAATGTCCCCCATGTTTGTCATGTTACAATGTATTCCCCTCCCCCCATGAAATGTCCCCCATTGTTGTCATGTTACAATGTATTCCCCTCCCCCCTTGAAAATGTCCCCCATGTTGTCATGTTTACAATGTTTTCCCCTCCCCCCTTGAAATGTCCCCCATGTTGTCATGTTACAATGTATTCCCCCCCCCCCCCCCTGAAATGTCCCCATGTGGTCATGTTACAATGTATTCCCCCCCCCCTGAAATGTCCCCCATGTTGTCATGTTACAATGTATTCCCCCCCCCCCCGAAATGTCCCCCATGTCATGTTACAATGTATTCCCCCCCTGAAATGTTCCCATGTTGTCATGTTACAATGTATTCCCCTCCCCCCCCTGAAATGTCCCCCATGTTGTCATGTTACAATGTATTCCCCTCCCCCCTGAAATGTCCCCCATGTTGTCATGTTACAATGTATTCCCCTCCCCCCTGAAATGTCCCCCATGTTGTCATGTTACAATGTATTTTTCCCCTCCCCCCCCCTGAAATGTCCCCCATGTTGTCATGTTACAATGTATTCCCCCCCCTGAAATGTCCCCATGGTTGTCATGTTACAATGTATTCCCCCCCCCCCCCCGAAATGTCCCCCATGTCATGTTACAATGTATTCCCCCCCCTGAAATGTTCCCCATGTTGTCATGTTACAATGTATTCCCCCTCCCCCCTGAAATGTCCCCCATGTTGTCATGTTACAATGTATTCTCCTCCCCCTTGAAATGTCCCCCCATGTTGTCATGTTACAATGTATTCCCCTCCCCCTGAAATGTCCCCCCTGTTACAATGAAATGTCCCCCCATGTTGTCATGTTACAATGTATTCTCCCCCCCTGAAATATCCCCCATGTTACAATATGTATTGTCATGTTACAATGTATTCCCCCCCCCCCCCTGAAATGTCCCCCATTGTTGTCATGTTTACAATGTATCCCCCCCCTGAAATGTCCCCCATGTTGTCATGTT